TTATCTTACACAAAAGAGGATAACACTGGCTTTTCCAGTGTGACACTTGACCTTCAAATAATTCGACTAAAGATACAGCTGTTATTAAGTTTAGTTTAATTGACAATAAATTGAAATGACCCAGTTCTGTGGTTCATGAATATGTTGCAAACTCTCCAAACAGCCGTGAAGCAAAAAGCAAAGGCTAATGGAGGAGAAAGAAAATACCCAAGGGCTGTCTGCAGGCACATTGGCTTCCTGGGGGAAACTGGTTGTCTTTGAACTGGCTAAGATACAGATAAAGGAGAAACAATCTCTTCCATGTGTCAGTACTCCTGTTATTAAAGTCCTGTAAAGTTTGTACACTGCTGATCAAAGGAGGAAGGTGAGACAATAGGCAAAGTGCAGTGAAAGCATGAAACTGAGATACCAAAATTTGACAGAGAAAAATTGGAGATCTACAGCTCTCAGTACAAAGGAAATGCATCAGACCTCAAATGTGTTTTCAGGTTAGATTTTCAAGTAGTTTTCTCAGTAGTGTAAAGCCTTAAACATTAGTGTCATCGAAAATGAGTGTCTTAGATGTTTTAGTTAGGCCATCAAAGTAGCCTCCTGTATAGGATATATTGGACATAACTTTGAACATTGCATTTATCTCAAGAAGCTATATCATAGTCTCAGTGGGACAGCATCAAGAGAAAGGCTTTTCCCCTCATGACCACCTCAGCAAAAGCAAATCTTGCATCCATGTGTTGTAGAATTTTTGAAGTTGAAAGGTCAACCCAAAATATTGAAGATTTAATCAGCTTCATGACTTTGTCCATTGCCAAATGCAGACAAAAATGTAACAAAAATTACTACTTGGAAAGTAGTAAATTGACCTCTTATATGAAGGAGTTCCATATTGTTGCAATATGCTTCCTGTTTGGTACAATACTGGTACAAGTCATATCTCAGTCGGGATAAACTGGCATTAAATGTGGTATGTAGGCCACCAATCCATTAGCGATAGGCCATTGTAAAAGCATTGCAAGAGGGCCATGTGATCCTTCTAGAACTAGTCATTTGTGCATAAAATTCATTGTTTGATTAAGGCCTTCAGGCTCTCTCAAGGTTCCGGACCTTGTTGTATACAAACACCTTGCCTTTTCTCCCCATGAGTTTACAGGACAAAGCAAAGATGGGAGAGCTTTGGTGAACTGATGTCCCATGGTCACATAGGACCCAGATGTCTCAGTTGGCAGCCTGTTGCTCTATCTGCTGGGTCATACTTCACAGAGTGACCCCTGCATTTAAGTTATATGGAACACAACTGATGTTCTGTGGTTTTGTGTGTTTGATGATGGAGCAAATGCTGAAGGAGGACTGATCTTCTAATCCCAGACCTGGTACTGTGAAGGTTCACTGGTGGTAACTGATATTTATTAGGAGTGCTTATTGCTAATTCACCATGTAATCTGTCACTGAAATATTACAAACCAAACTTGCAGCCCCTGCCATTAGGAGCTTACAGGCAACACATTCATTTCCTCTATGGTGATGAAATATGCACAGCATATTCTTTCCTCCTGATTTGTATAAAATGAAGCTGTTTGATGCTCTCTTAGGTATGCATGATAAATAGATAAATAGAGCATTCAGTAAATATCCTCAGCTTCAGGGATTATCAACAGGGGAATCAATTATGTAAATTACTTGGGCCTTTAGAGTTAGACATAAATACTGAGACTTAAGTCAGTCATCAAGAGAAAACTTCAGCTTTCTCCTGAAATCTAGAAAGCTTTTTCACTTGATTGTAGATTTAAACCCTTTTCAGCTGCTACATTTTTCCTGTAAACAATGGGAGTTTAGCCTTACTGATAATAATGTTTTCTTTACCCAAGAAACTTGTACAACACAGAGTAGCTTGATAGGAAAAGGCAAAGCAATCAGTAAACTGTGAAGCACAGGATGAGGAATGCTTCATTCATTTAGGCCAGCGTATACTGAAGTACATGCCAAACCTGCTGCTTTAATTTAGCTTTCCCACATCAATATCAACAGTCATAGCACCCTATCAAACTCCTGGGGGGGAAAAAAGGGCTAGGTGGAGGGAGGGGAGATTTCAGGTCTTGGAGGAAGGAGATCAGACACCACTTAGTGGGTCTCCTCTTGACTGTCTTGCAGCTATCGACTCCTGTATGCTTCTCCACTCCCCGGTAAAGACATCCATCAGAACCAGTCCCTAATCCTACCAGCTTCCCTGCCCTTCCAGATATGTCCACCCTTCCACTGTTTCCTCCACACCAGCTCCTCGTTGATCCCCTCATGACAGGTCCACTGCAGTGTCTATCCAATGCCACTCCCGAATCTGACCATTCATATTCCACCACTGCTTCATTGAACTACCTCCTTTCCTGTTGTTTCACATTTATCCATGCCTTTGGGAGAATCGTCCCTTCCTGACTGTCCTCCCTAATCCTTTATTTCCAGAAGAAAATTTCTTCCCTCCCTGTTCACCTGGGCTTTACACTAATGCCAGACCCCTGTCACACCAAGGAATCACTCATGAGCAGAGTTTTGAACCCAAGAGGCACCACCACTCTCTAAAGGGAAAACAGCACACTGCTTCAGGAAACCATCCTGATAAACCCATAGCCTGGTGAGTGCAAGATAAATGACTAAATTACCCAGTGCCTGTGCTGCTTGAATGATTTGTGCAGCTGGGGCCTTGTAGGATTGATTGGAGCCGAGGAGGAGGAGGCTGGATGAGTATGGGAAGGAGGAGCCAGACATCACCTTGAGACCAAGTGGGCATAGCATTCCCCTCCATGTCTTTAGAAACTTACCAGTTGTGCTGGTTTTGTCTGGGATTGGGTTAATTTTCTTCACAGTAGCTGGTATGGGGCTGTGTGTTGGATTTGTGCTGGAAACAGTGTCAATAACAGGGATGTTTTCGTTACTGCTGAGCAGTGCTGACACAGAGTCAAAGCATTTCTTGCTTCTCACTCCACCCCACCGGTGAGGAGGCTGGGGGTGCACAAGGAACTGGGAAGGGACACAGCCGGGACAGCTGACCCCAACTGACCAAAGGGATATTCCATCCCATATGGCGTCATACTCAGCATATAAATCTGGGGAAGAAGAAGGAAGGAGAGGGGATGTTTGGAGTGATGATGTTTGTCCTCCCAAGTAACCATTATGCATGACAGAGCCCTACTTCCATGGGTATAGCTGAACACCTGCCCGACCATGGGAAGTAGGGAATGAATTCCTTGCTTTGTTTTGCTGGAAAAAGGAGACAGGGAGCTCACAGGGCTCATGGACAGACCTGGGCTCTGTACCTTGAGCCATTCTTCCTCAGCTGAGGGTGTGCGTGGAGGACCTGAGTACCCAGCTAAACCCTCCTGGGGAGTCCCAGCTGCCTGCTGACAGCCTTCTGTCACCGTTAGCCCTTCAAAGCCTGGTTTAAGAAAACAAAACACAAGTGGAAGAGAAGGAGCCTTCCTACATGCGAAGCTCTGACACCATGCAGGGTGATGGCTCTGCTGCTGAGCGGACGAGCCCGAGTGCCTGCAGTGGCTGCTGTAAATCGAGCCTGCATGGCTCTGGCAAGGGCTGCAAGCACAGAGGAAAAATCCGCTTAGGCACCTAGCTGTCACACACGTGCAGAGGCACTTACTAAGCCACAATAACTGTGCTACAGGGTACCTTTTGCCTTCTTATTATGTGGGGATTAAGGTTTGCCTGGCGTGATGAGAAAGCTGTCCCAATTGCTTGCAGCCTCTCAGCATCCCCAGTTAGAACTGTTTTAAAGAGACAGGCAATTAGAAAACTGTTCCCACTCTGTCCTTTAAAAAAACCCTTAATTTTAACACCTAATTATGTGCAATACAGATCCATTCCTATTTCCTTTGCCAAGCTGCTTCTTGGTTTTGATCTCACAGGGCACTCACCCTCACAGAGAGAGAGGCTTTGATTAGGAATAAGCAAAGGCTGTTGGAGGGGAGAAAACCTGGTGGAATACCAAGGCTGGCAGCACGTTGCTGTCCCTGCCACTCACTTGCTCTATGACCTTGGGCATATTACAGTGGCATTTAGGGCTTTGGGGAGGCAACAATTTTCCTCCTATGCATCATGCTTGGAGACAAAGGACTGCAAAGTGCAAAACTAGAGCCGTAAAACCATTCCGGTAGCTTAATGACAGCTCTGGAAAAGTAGCAGAATACATCCATTTCCCCCCCCATCTTTTTGAGCACAGCTAATGAAGGGAAAAGAAAGCCTCTGCCCTGGCTGAGAGCAAGCATCAGCTGTGAAAGTGATGCACTGAAATGTAGGAAACACTCCGGAGTGCAGGAATTCGGTTACATGGCTGTTTGCAAATTAATGGCTAAATCAATTAAATGAAAGCATGGGATTTCTCTTGAGGAAAGTCTAGTCACAATCGCAAGGGGAAGGGGAGGGGTTGTGGGGTGGGGAATGACATAATCACGTTTGCGAATCACCAGCATGCTTTAATCCATTAATGGGGTTTTTATCTGTGATCATAAAAAGCAGGTTACATACAGCCTGGAAGGGAGTGAGGGTTGGAGGAGAGGGGAGGGGAGAGAAAGAGCAAGAGAGAGAGAGAGACACAGAAAGCAAGAGAGAAGGAGAGCACAATTCACTCGGTGAAATGCTTGCAAGCTTTGGGCTGATAATTAGGGATCTCAGGAGAGCAGTTTCTCAGAATAATCTGCTGTCCTTCGAATGGACCAAATGGAGACAGTGGTTCAGCCCTGCTGATATTTTTTAAGCCCTCCTCGCAGTTTGATGGGCATTCCCAGCGCTTTTGTGCACGTCTCGGAAAGCGTTGACGTGGAAAGGAGCAGCGAGGAGGGGGAGGTTGGAGAAAAAAACTGCAGCTCTTCTAAAAATACGGAGGGCATGCAAGAGTGTGAGCAGGCTGGGGAGGAGGGCGAGGTGAGCGCGCCTCGCACCATGGTCCCCAGGTGCCGGCACGGCGCAGTTTCGGAGATGTCCTTCCTGTGACTGGACGCACCATGAGCATCTGGGAGGTGATCCTGGCTTTCGTGGTGGTGGTGCTGATGCTCGTGGCCCTGCTGGCCAACGTGCTGGTGCTGATGTGCTTCCTGTACAGCGCCGACATCCGCAAGCAGGTCCCGGGATTGTTCATCCTCAACCTCACCTTCTGCAACCTGTTGATGACTGTTTCCAACATGCCTTTGACCTTGGCTGGGATCATTTACAAGAGTCAACCAGGAGGAGATCAGATCTGCCACGTTGTGGGCTTTCTGGAGACTTTTCTCACCACGAACTCCATGCTGAGCATGGCAGCTTTGAGCATTGACAGGTGGATTGCTGTGGTCTTCCCTCTAAGTTATCACTCCAAAATGAGATACAGAGACGCTGCTCTCATACTGAGCTACACGTGGTTACACTCGGTGTCGTTCCCGATAGCGGCAGCTTCTCTCTCCTGGGTGGGTTTCCATCATCTCTATGCCTCCTGCACCCTGTACAACAAGAGACCAGAGGATAGGACACAGTTTGTGATTTTCACTGGGGTCTTTCACACCCTCAGCTTCCTCCTCTCCCTTATAGTCCTGTGTTTCACATATCTAAAAGTGCTGAAGGTGGCACGGTTTCACTGTAAGCGGATTGACGTGATCACTATGCAGACCCTGGTGCTGCTTGTGGACATCCATCCCAGGTAAGGTACCCGCGTGTTCAGCGAGTGAGACTGTTCGCTGCAGAGGAGTGAGAAATGGGTTGTGTTAAATACAGTCTGATCTGTATCACAGCAGGGGATGGGGAGGAGAGAGAACAAGCATCCTTCTTGCCAGTTTCTATTCTGCATGTTTCTTTTTTCTTGTGTTTATTTCTCTGGTTGCAGAAACAACTCTTTTTTTGTTATGCTTAAGGGCTTGCTTTGGGAGGGACAGCAAAGAAATAGGCAGTTTTGGCTGAGCATGCATTTCTCTTTGAGACAGTGATTGGATCGCTGCCCTTTGTCTCAGAAGGTGAATTTAGTGGTCGATAGATTTACATTTTTTGGCACTGAGAGCCCAAAATGTTGCTAGATCGCTGAGAGGGAGCAGGCTGAGGCTGCACATGTCCTTGCATTCGGAGTTCAGAAGAGAAGCTGGGTGCTGCATGCCGCTTGTTCACCCGGCAGTTTCCTTGTTGCTGTGTTCTCAGGAACTTTATCTTTCCTGAAGGCAGAAATGTATGGGAATAATATCTACAAAATGCATACGCATGGATGCCTATACTTAAATCCAAGTGAGAGAGACTTCAGCAGCAATGTTAATATGACAAGAAAGGGATGTATGGAATTCATTTCAAATGACAGTCTTTAAGCACAGGAGGAGGAAAGTCTCTGGGGGCTGGGAGGATAATGGGCTTGAAGGCAAGCACAGAACGGGTATGAATGTGTGCTGGGATGTTGTGCAAGAGAGTCACATCAGGGACTATGCACAAACTGTAAATCTTGCCTGAATTGGTTACGTCTGGATCTGGAAGGGATGAAAATTTGGGTGGAGGAGGGAGGGAGAGTGGGAGAGACAGCTTTCCCTGGGTCAGTAAGGGGAGTACAGTGGTAAAGCTGAAGGAGGGAAAGCCTTGCTGAGTGCAAGTCCAAGAGTGGTGCTGGGCAGGCAGCGATTCTGTTGAGGAGCTGGAGAAGGTGCCTGGTGCACGGGGGAGGAGGAAATCCATGTGTGCTGTGAGTACATGATAGCTCTGCCCACAAGTAGTGGAGACGAGGAAAAGGAGAGAACCAAACCAGGCACTGTTGGAAAGACATGGGATGAGGCTGGTGAGAAGGGAGCAGCAGGACAAGCTAGAGTGATCTGCTTGGGAAATGGGAATTTGAGGAATGAACCTGCACAGCTGAGGCAGGACAGAGAGGGACAGGACGGCTGACCAATCAGAATGTCCTGGCTGAGGACTGAGAGGCTCTGATGATCTGGGGCAGATGGGCCAAGACCCAGCTGTGACGGGGATGGGTGGCAGAGTCAGCAAGTGAGCTCTGGGAAGGGGAAACCAGAGGCACGGCTCGTAGTGTGGAAAGAAGTCAGCCTGGTTTGCTCAGAGGAACTGGTTTGTCTTAGGGCTTAGTGTGGCTGGAGCAGGTGATTGGAAAAGGAAAGGTCTGATGTATTTGCCTGGAAAAAAGGGAGAAAATGATTTGGTCTAGGTAGGGTGACAGAGCAGCTGTGAGGGATGCGTGTGCTGCTTGGGAGACAGTCAGAGATGGGATCTCCAGGTTCAGACTGTCTCTGTCAGAGACTGAGGGGAAGGGAGATGTCTTTCAGAAAAATGCTGGCAGCTGGTAGTGTAGGGAGGTGTCTGATATGAGGGAAGAAGTCATAGAATCATAGAATCAGTCTGCCTGGAAGAGAGGAAAGCGGGGAGTAGTTGAAGAGGTGAGTCCCACACCAGCCATCCCACCTGACCCCCCCTTACTGTCCTTTCCTCTGCATGCTGGAGGTGAACATCAGCTCTCTCCATTTGCAGCCAGCTCGGAGCAGAGCTGCAGGACTAAAAGCACATGTGGCTGTCCTCAAAAAAGGGTCACATTTGAGGATTCCTAAGCTTAAGGCAAGTAAGTCTGAAAGGATCAGGGCAGGACAACACACTGTTAGAGGAACAGAAAAATTTGCTCAGATTTCTCCAGTTAAGCTCTTTGATCTCCCTCTTGTCCAAGAATGCAGTGCAGAACTTTGGGCGAGTTCTGTTAGTGTTCTTGAGAAACACATGTATAAATCTTCCCTTATCCCCCAAGTCACACTGAGGAAAAAACACCCTTCTGCCCTACGTGCTGTCTGGTTGCTAAACTGTGCCCTGACTTAGCTCCTGCACGCACCATAAGATGTGGTGGTTACTCCCAGGCCAGTGCCACGGACCTACTGGGGGCTATTTGAAATAGCAATCATTATGCCTAATGCTTAAAGAATGCCTGGACTGCACAGTAAAGCTTAGAAAAAGGGCAAAAATCTCAATGGTATGTCTCCTCCTCTCCATTTTATGGTCCAGGTTAATTTGAGGGTGTGCTTGCATTTTGTAATCATCTCATTGAGATGTAGGTTCAATGGGATTGTGGGAGCGTTACTTCCTTTCTTCAGAGGAGAGAGAGGTGTATAGGCACTTTGCTGAGAGTAACCTGTATTGCCATTATTTATCTCTCGCATCAGGTTATTCTAAAGCTTCTCAAAGAAAAGAGAGTTTAGCTTCTTTTCTAGACTACAGAATTGGTGGCTGATTTGGCCTATGGTGACACCTACCACCCCTGAAAGGGTTAGACCTCAGATTGCCTTCCCTACTGCGAGAACTACACAAAGGCTGCAGGCATCCTGGAGCAGTCAGTGATGTTCAGAAAGCTCCGATATAACAAAAGCATCATTTGAATTATATAAGTGGGATATATTCAGGCATTTTCAGTGTTTACTATGGGACCTAATAGCATAGACATGGATGCTGGGAGAAGGCAAATGAGAGAACCAAGTTTGTAACCCCAACTTAGACAGCCCTGACTTCTCTGGCTTTTTGCATGGTCTAGTTTCAACACTGAGAAATGTGTACGGACAATTTTCTGATTCCTGTGACTCAGAATCCACCCGCAAGGGTGTCTAGCGACAGGCACTATGACAGATGTCTTTATTACCTGTGACTTGGAAAGACACTAGTGGTCTCCTGAAGATCACTCAAGGCGAGTACAAAGGAAACCTCTAAATACCACATGAAATCGTGTGAATGTTTGGGGCACATGTCCTTTCAAGTTAGCTTAGGCATTTTTACTGGATACTGCCTTCTCTTGACTTTGTACTTCAGACTGAGATATCTTAGGTATTGTGAGAGGTTTGGGCAAGACTTCACTTAAGTGCTTAACCTGTGTATTTCTTCACCCAGATTATATATACTATCTTTTTAGTGTATCCAGCTTTACAGATCTTAAGGTCCAGTATCTCATAAAATTTGTTTAAAATACCAAACCTACAAAGGGATGTATCTTAGATTTTCCAGGATATTAAAATCTTTAAAGGAAAGCTTAGTCAATAATCCAGTTGTATTACCAGTGTCACTACTAGAACTTGCATTTATGTTCATATCTCAGTGCATGAAAGTGTGTGCAAAAGCAAAATACTCATCTGCGTACATTGCCTATATGAAGGAGTGAGATAAAATACCTTCCTCTGTGATGTGGTGTTTATTAGCTACATCTGGAAAGGCTGAACAAAAGAAATTGGTTGAAGTCTTCACCACTTCCCAAGTCATGTGTGAGCTGCAGGAGGCAAAGACAGCGTTGTATGTGCCAGAAAGGAAAAGATGTAACTGGGGAAACTGTTAGAGACAAAAAATACACCACTTTCTACACCCTAACAACATCCTAATTGAACCTACTTTGGAGGTTTGGTTTCCTGTATCACTGTGTGCCTGGGATACTATGAATTTAATAACAGAGGTTTTAAGCAAAGCTGCTACACCTCTAAGGTTATCTGTCTGCCCCTAAAAATACTGCAAGTTCTCCAGCTCTTGCAGAACTGAAAGCACATAGGTTCCCTTGAAAAGGTGGATTTTTTTTCCATCTTGGCTGCCATTTGTAGCTGAAATAACTCAGGCATAGAACATGTAACACTTTTAGACGTGTTTTCATTCTACTTAGGCATATTCCTTAGAGCAAGATGATGTTATTTCAAGGAGAACAAACTTTTTCTCCAGTGCTTATTTAATTTTGTACTTAATGATAGCTGCTCTAGGGACTAGAAATGTAAGACCATATATAAAACAGATCAAAGGAAAAACATTTTCTTTAACACAATGTAAAGGTCACATAGGAACTCACTGCCACAGAGATCACTGAAGCGCACTGAGATCCCCAGGACATAACATGCATTCAGATGATGATCAACATTTGCAGATACAGCAAATAACGTCAGGGTATGGCCATAAACCTCACAGCTATTAACAGACGTGAGCGTGGAACCTGACAGTGAGTCATCAATTAAAAAATTATAATAAAACCAGAGACCAGTGCCACAGTTACATAATACAACTCATGGGCCAGACCATTTGGCTTGCCTGAGCCATGCGTTTGCTGTACCATGAGACCTGGGCAATGAGTCAACACGTAACAGCACTGCGATGTGCGTAGAGAGGGGTTTCAGGACTGCAGTCTGGCTTTGCTTTTGCCCTCTCCAAAGGGTCTAGTCCAGATCACTCTGGAGGCACAAACAGTGCTGCCCATTGAACCCAACTGCCTGGAGGAGACAGTTACTTGTCCATGTCCCTCAAAATACAGAGCCAGCACAGGAGTTACATAGGTAGGTAGGGGAGGAGGATGGGTTTTCACATTGTCACTCTTTTGGTAAGTAAATATGCTGATTTCAAAGGGGATTTCCTGCAGTGGTCTCAGCCCCGTGCTCCCCTCAGCTAGCTGACATACCAAGGATCTTAGGAGCTCTCTGGCAGCCTGGTGAGGCCACCACTGGGAATCTCAAAGGAGAAGATCATGCCCTAAAATGCGATAGGTAGGAAAAACCCCAGGGTGTGAATAATTTGTATCTGTTTATTCAGGAGCAAAGCTGGTTTGAGATGAGGAGTCAGAACATGACAGTGCTCTGGGCTTGTTATAGAATTACTGGCTTTTGCAGAGCTGTACAGGCTGCCCAAATATTTATGGTTGTGCGATACAGTGATTGCTCTAAAGCTGGACTGAATTTTCATAGCATGTTTTTTCCTGTTATGATTTTATTGTGTTATGTTCCTTGTCTTGCTTGGAAGTTTCTCCTAAGATAGTGGTGTTGGAATTGCTGTTTCTAGGGAAGTTGCATGCTGCCTACTGCTCTGGATATTTTTTCAGCCTCTGAATATCATGAGGCAAACTCTGGCCTACAAATACAGTTTACAGTAACTCAGAAAGGAGCTGCAATCGAATGAAAGGCTGAATTCCACCAATTTGAGTACACACAAATTGATGATGTGTGTGTGTGCATATAAATATATAATCATGCAATTCTCAGTAATTGTTTTTGGAGGGTAAGATGATCCTACAATGCATTAATACTTGGTATTGTCCCATATAAATGTAGTGCACCTGGTATTGGCTTATGCAAATAAAACAATTACTGGAAAGATTACTTTCTATCATCCCATAAGTAAAGCCATTAAAATCTGCTACCTGATATTATGATTTATGTTCTTGTTTGTGTTGAATGTTACACAGCGTAAGAGAGCGTTGTCTAGAAGAACAAAAGAGACGGAGGCAGCGAGCAACAAAGAAAATAAGTACCTTTATTGGTACTTTTATACTTTGTTTTGCACCTTATGTAATTACAAGGTAAGTGCAAACCTACATAATGGGAAAGTCTACTGAGATGCACTCTAGGCTCAGAGAAGTAGGGCACTCTGAACCAGAAAATGATTCACATCTCCCGTGAAGATTTTGTGCAGTGTTTCCATTCCTATGACAGAGATTGCATTTACTGAGCCAAGAAAACTATATAAAATGTCATAGCACTTATCTGATAAAATCCTGACACAGCCTGTGGGCCAAAAGCTGTTCAGTCGATATGTTGGTTGCATGGGAGTGATTTAGGAATTCAGTCCACAGCGGTTTGCAGACATGTTTCAGGTCAGGTAGTCACCTCCTCCTCTGATTGCCTCCCTGGTTCAGGGGCTGATCTGCAGGGGAAGATACGTGTCTGAGTAGGTCAAACTGTAAAAATCTGGTCAGCAAAATCCAGCTGAGGTGAGAACATGGTCCACAGACTTAAATGATAACTTTGTCTGACTGGATAGAGTTTATTAGTCATAAACATCAAATATAAAAGTGGTTCTGGCTCATAGCTAAAAAGAATTCCTGTGATTTATTGTCAGATGTCCTTATCTATCTACTAGCTTATCTTTGGAAATGGCTCCTGTGGGAAACACAAAATTACTCCTATGAAACATAAAGTATTAGAAAGTGAGCATATTCAAAATAGTGTTATCTAATTGTTGAAGGAAATTTATAACTTACAGTCCTTATTAAAAGACTGGAAAAACTGAAATGCTGCTATGCATAACAGGGAAAGGAAAAAACAATTTTAACATCTCACCAATTCCAATATCACCAAATAGTTATTGGGACTGACGTCAGTCAAACTCAGATCTGTCACAAACAAATAATTGAAAAGACTGAATTACTACTCATTATAAGTGGGGATGTAGCCAACTCCAAGTTTTTCCTGTTTAGTATACTCTCCTGAATTTCTATTTCTAACAAAACCATTCACAAGAAGGTCTTGTAGTCTCTTGGTAAAAATGGAAACCTGCGTGTCCCACTGATGTTATGTTCATGACGATAATGGCTAATTGATTCATGCTGTTTATTTGTAACAATGTTGCAAATTCTTGCAACAATCTGACAACTACACGTGCAACAATGTTGCAAATTCTTGTAACAACCTGACAACTACTTGCAACAATGTTTCGAAGACATTTGCAACAATGTTTCGAAGGCACTTGCAACAATGTTTCCAAGGCCCTTGCAACAATGTTTCCAAGGCACTTGCAACAATGTTTCCACGGCACTTGCAACAATGTTTCCAAGGCCCTTGCAACAATGTTTCCAAGGCACTTGCAACAATGTTTCCACGGCACTTGCAACAATGTTTCCAAGGCCCTTGCAACAATGTTTCCAAGGCACTTGCAACAATGTTTCCAAGACACTTGCAACAATGTTTCAAAGGCATTTGCAACAATGTTGCTAGATTTACCTTCGCTTTCACTTGGTAGTCACAAGAAGACACTTCATGTCACACACTCTAAAAGGGTATGAAAGGATTTAAATTGCAGCCATTTAGCCTTAGTTCTCAGGCTGTAAGATATTAGAGTATTTGTCTCATCACAAATGGTTAAATTTCATTCCAAGTTGTGTCTCTGAACTTAATGAAAATCACTGCAGTCACAGAATAGCTCGTGGCTCTGTCCTGAGTGATGCCAAGTGCTCTAACCAGGACTGGCAGAAGCACTTTTGAGCTCCTCCATAGGCATCTCATCCCTGTGTTCCATCACCACCTCCTTACCTCCTCTTTACTCTTGTGTCCAAATAGATCCTAAGATATAGAAGAAGGGTTAGATAAATCTTGATCCTCCTCTCTTCAGTCCATAATTTAAAAGTTCCCCCAAGTCTTCAGTCTGCTGAGGACTGATAACTTTGCCACAGATAGTGACTATAGGAAGGGTCAAGGTGTAGGCTCTTGAATGCATGAAGTGCTGGCCAGGCATGTCAGGGCAGGTAAAGGCTATCACTTTCCTGACCTTTCCAGTTCTGACACATTGAGGAGAATCACTTCACAACAGGCTACAGGGAATTCCCTCTCTAGCTGCTTGAGTGTCCCTTCAGACCTTGCTGGATGCCACACACATGGGTGGGTATGTAAGGATGTGCATTACTGTGCTTACCTATACCTCACACGTACGTCTGAGGGTGTTGAAGTCAGGGGGATTAGGAGGCTTTTGAGCTTAATTATATAAGCAAGTATTATTTTCTGGACTCTGTCCAGAGCTTTTCATTTGCAAGAAAGAGGCAATCAATCACTTTTCAGGGCAGTGAACAGAAGATAGTTGATGAAGCATATTGCTCTGCTGCTCATTTGGACAGCCGGCGCTAAACAGCGACATGTTTAAATTAAACACGCTTTTAAGTATCTCGTGAATTGAGGCCTCAAAGCAGTAAAACACAAGGCTTTATAATGAAAACATCTTTCTGCTTCCACACTGAAAACAAATAGTTATCTCTAGCAATTCCTTGAACCAGTGAAGGAGTTGTGTTTATAACCCCAGCCAGATAAATTCTTCTCTGGGTAAACCAGAGTTTTTCAGACTACATTAAGGTAAAAAACAGATTAGACACGTTTTGTCAGGAAAACACCCTTCTAATTAGTTCAGTGGCTGACCTTAAGAAGTATAACAGTAGAAACTGATTATTCTTGTTTCTACTGTACCAGTATGACAGATGTATTACCCTGTATTATTTATTTCTAGGCATAGCTTATTTCTTGGTTTGTAAAACATCTATTAGTACACATCTCTTCTTTTACTGTATTTATCATTGTGTGATTAAATAACATTGTTCAAAACCTATTTTCTCCAACGAGCTTTCTCATTAAAAAAAAAAAAAGTCATACCAGTTTCTAATATTAATTTCCAACTTTGCTCAAGTAAGTTAATAAGTGCTGTCAATGTGAGGAAATTGGCCTTAAATTAAAAATCCTGACGTAATACTAGAAAGAAGTTCATAGCCCCAAGCCCTCAGGTTACAGAGGAGGATGGTAGAACAGGCAGAAGAAGATTAAAATTCTCTTGTATCATCTCTGGGGAACAAGGGGTAAACAAACAGTGTTTTCAAACTGGTTGCCTGTCCTCTGCATGCAGATCCTGCTTGGGTATACAAGCAAGTTCAGAATTCCTCTGCAAGCTATGTTCTTGCCTGTCTGTGCATAGAAATGCAAGATTTTCCTGTGCTGACATATGCAATGAAAGTGGCCTTCTAGTCTCCATCAGAAGGCTCAGCTGGTGTGAGATAGAGGTATTTTCCTCATCAATAGAAAACCCTTTTGGTACAAGCTGGGCAGTGCTGCTTGCTATGCTCACATCTCTGTGTTGACAGGTGGTTCCTGCATCTCTGGGGAACAACAATGGCTAAAAGCAATGGTTAGCAGGATTTGCTACTAGAGATTTGTGAGATTAGCTACAGGAGTCCAAGAATCTGCTTCTTTACTGGCCTCTTATAATGTGTGCACCACTTATGAGGTAAAAGTGGTTAAGGGTAAATCAGCAAACAGCTACTGCAATGGCATTTTTGGATCAAGAAGCAGTCATTAAATAGGGCTTTTTCACTAGCAAGACAGCATACAAAAGATTCAGTCTACCTAGCAATAAAGTGAAAATAAAGTAAGATCAGCATCAGCATAAAACTCATGGTCAGCTGCTTTGTATCAATAACACAAAAGAAACGACTAAGGTCTAATTCTGATGCTACGGGGAAAACAAGAAATCAGAATTAGTCACAAACAGAAATGTTAGGAATGCAAGCTTAAAGAGCTGATTCAAATACTTGGAGAAAGGGCAGAATTTCTTCTTGTAAGAAATTCATCACCTACCAGCTCCAAAATGAAGTGCCAGCTTTGTTTGCCTCCTGAACAACAAGAGTCTTTAGTTTATATGAGACTCTGGGCTGTTCAGAATTTTCTCCCGTAACTCAGTTAAGTGCTCAGGTTTAAGCAATGCACAGTAAATATGGTCCCACTGTAGTAGCCTCCGGCTGGACACGGATGTGTTCAGTAAAAGATACTGCACACGTATATAAAGGGTTTTCAGTGTGTATTACCTGTATAAAGGATCAGGGTCTTAACCTTCAGCATAGCATTCTCATTTATTTACTAGAAGTGGAATAATTGGATAGCCATTTGACATAACACACGCTACAGAATTACTTGTTTGTAAAATATTAACAAAGTATCACAGCAAAACAGCTTCTGGCTTTGAAACAAAAAGTTATTGAAGACAAGACATCAGAAAGTAGCTTATGAAAGCGAAATAGGGAACTACGTAGTTGATGCTGTAGAATTTAATTTACAGGTAGCACTGAAATATTAATGCTCCTTCACTGAAAATGTCTTCTTTTTGGCTGAAACTTTTCATGAGCATTGAAGCTATGCATATGATTACCCTCATAAATGAGAAACAAACCCTGCTTTCAAAGGCAATAAAGTACGTGATATGCCTTGAAAGATTGATATTTAATTGTTTGTACACAAAATGGAATTGCATAGCTTAGGGTTTGTCTGCATTTCTGTTTGCTGCTTGATGTCTACAAATGTAATTTACTATAAAAAAATACACAAGAATTGAAAAATGTGTAAATATCAAGAACAGTTAAGGAACATAATGAAAAAAAAATTAAAATTCTGTTGATAAAAGTGTAGGCTTTTTAGTCGGTCTGTCAGTGAAGGTAAAATTAACAAGTCTTGCAACCCCAAAGTGTCTATTCGATATGCTTTAAATGGAGGTTGTTAACATCTTGTAAAACTGATTGACAGAGATTCAGACACAAATTTGTCATATTTTGGTCATTCAAGGCATCCCCTGAATTTAATTAAGCTTAATCAAATTCACATCTCTAAAGCATTCCATAAAAGTAAATCAGCCAGATGAAATTCAACATGATGAAATTCAAAATGCAAAGAAGGCATCAAGTATGTGGAGTGGAGAATAACAGGAGGAAGGATGGCTCATGGTAGATTACAAAGTAAATGTGACTCAGTGGATGATTAATTTTCAAATAGGCAATTCTCATTTTAGAGCATATTAACATGGGTGTCATAAACTACATTTTATTAAACAAGAGAGAATCACCCTATGAGACCCCCCGGCAGCTTCAGTAGAAGATAATTATGTCTGAATTTTGATCCCACTTTGTAAAGAAGATATGAACCATGAGTTACAAGGAGAGGTTGAAAGAACAACATTTGTTTGATTGAAATGAAAAGGGAGAATTGGGACAGATAGCTGTTCTTTGGGTTGTCAACGTTGTTTACAGTGATCAGCTGAGCCGAGCAGCACCAGTAGAGGGGCAAGAGCAATTCCCAAGTATTTTCATGTCACACCACTTGGTCACCTCAAAGGTCTCACATGTCAGTGAGCCTAAATCGTATTTTGGCTAATGTCACCTCTCCTAAAAACATCATTGTACAGGTACACCCCACTTGCAATGGAAGTGATATACAAAGTGATCAAATTGCTAGTACAAAGCACACAAAATTATTCTCAGTTACCAACATGATGACAGTGGCTAAAGCCCCAGCACTGGCTGCAGACCCATGGTGCTAAGCCCAGCACATGAAGCTGGGAAGGAACAGACCATGGCTTTGCAGTCTAGGCAAACAGAACAGAGAGAGAAGCCGCGTGTAGTCAGTGGTGTAACAAATTAAGGCTCCTTAGTCCCACTTTCGTGCTCAAATGACTGGATCATACCATCTGCCAACGCTATTTTAAACAACACGATGTAGTGAAAGTTTATGGAATAAGAATAAAATGACTGAGGGGAAAAAAAAAAAAATCTTCCTCTCTAAACTGCTTGAATTACCAACACTATTGCCATTGCTGCTGCAGGAACCACGCTTCAGAATGCTCCTTGGAAATGGAGTTTTGTCTGAAGAAACATTAGCAATTGAAGTATTTTCCAGGCAGATTTAAGAGCACCTGCTGCTGATGACAGTTTCAGCAGAGATCTTATTTGCCATTGCATAGTGGAGCTCCCGAGCAGCACATACGGCTGCTCCTCTTCCAGAAAAATCAATAACACCTCAACAGCTGTTGAGACGTATTGAGCAGGACTGTCCTTCAGTGTTGCTCAAAGGCAAGGGGAAAGAAAACCTTGTGGACTTACCAATATTTCACTGTCAAAAATACTGTCTCAGTACAAAGTGAACTATCCATGATAGTGTAGGTATGAGGACTATATAAAGCTCTTCCCTCTCTCAATGGGTTAAAAGTTTTGCCTTGCTAAATTTGTTGCAAATGTATATGTTTGGCCCTTAAAATGGCCAGTTTTGAAAATGAAGAGAGATATATATAGGAAATTAGTTTATGAGAAGATGCTGCATGATATTTTTCATCCTCAGTAAACTTTCTTACCTTATGATCCCAAACTAGACATTAAAAATAGGGCTAGGTTACAGTACTATAGAGAGATGCCCATTTATCAAGTATCTTGATGGCCTGAGAAAGTCAAATGAGTTCAAACCCAGGTCTACATCAGAGATTTGGACTCAGTTTTTAGTCTACAAAAGGTGTATTCCAGTAACAAATAAATAGGCTCTTTTGAATACTGCCTGATATCCTGCTGGAGCTATTCCATTTTGCACTAAATTCTTCAACATTTATTGTGGTAAATGGTCAAGAGAGTCTTTTAGGAGGCAACACAACCAAGGTCCACTTTCAGCCTCAGTAAATGTACAGCTAACTGCAGAGGGTCAGAGATGCCTTGCAAGCTGGAGGTCAAGACACTCTGATAGAAGCTGTGTAGTCCCATCCTTGGGAAACTCTCCTCAGGTTTACATTTTCAGTCTCAGAAATGTATAAAGGAAGGACTACATTCACATTTTCAGAGCATGGCTTTCTTTTCTTTTGTTTTCTTACAATTGCCCAGAAATAAATGGGGGTTGGGGTGTGTGTGTGTGTCATTGGCTTACAGCTAATAGTTGTGCTGTTGCTCCATATTTTTAATCTGACTATTCACCCTCTCCACCTTTCTTTTTCCACAGACTTGTCGAATTATCCTCTGTGGTCCACATCAATTCCCATTGGGGAATCATTTCCAAGTGCTTAGCTTACAGCAAAGTTGTTTCAGACCCTTTTGTGTACTCTTTGCTACGGCATCAATACAAGAAGACATGGAAAGACATCATAAACAAGATCCTCAAAAGAAGCTCCATCAATTCCTCTGCACTCACGAGCGAATCGCACAATCAGAATATATTGCAGCTGAAAGAATGAGGAGTCTGGTATGGGACCTACAAGACACATAAAACAATATATGGGACACAAAAGTAACTGGCCTATCCCTAGTAGCTATCCTCAGCTGTGAAGGTTTTGTGGGGCAGTCACGGACAGGTTGCAGCCCAGCCCATGTCCCCCCTGTAGCCCCCGTAACACCTAAGGGAGGCAGGCGGCTTTTCTACCTCCCATCTCCAAGTAAGAGTGCTATTGATATGTGGTCTTGCAGGCTTTGCAAATACAAATCTCCCATTGATTTCCACCAGCAGTCACACATGCCTGTAGGGTAAAAAACTAGTCCTCAGCAGAAGGACTCACGGAAGGAATGAGAGCAAAGTGATGCCATCATAAGATTTCTCCAAAAAAGCTTCACAGGGATATTTGTGCTGTATTTTTCACTAGTTGCAGGTAAGGCTCCCTCTGATGGAGCTGCCAGCCTGGCTTTAAAAAAACAACCCAAACCTGGTTGGTTGAGTAGGTCCCGTATAAGAAACCTCTTAATAGGAAAAGCTTAATAAAAAAGTCTTTACCTAGATACTCACACAGTGCCCGACATAG